GTACAAAAACAAGATGGACATCTCAAATGAAGCCAAGTACCGGATGATCAGTAAACAAGGTGTCCTGACGCTGGAGATCCGTAAGCCCTGTACATTCGACGGAGGAGTTTATATGTGCAAAGCAGTCAACGGGAGCGGGGAAGACATAGTGGAGTGTAAACTGGAGGTTCGCCGTAAGTATCCTGCTGCTCATGTGTCTTCTTTTTTATGACCCACTTAGACACTGAATCCTTTCTGTGGCATCCTCTGTTTTCCCTCATTCCCCCTCCTTAAAAATTAAAAAATACCATTGAAGTCCACATAAATAAATGTCAGTCTGTTATCAAGAAAAGGGTATCTTTGTGTAAATGTGAGAAAATATAGTAAAAATGTTCATTAGGTTAAATGGTGAACACTTTGATTTACAGGTTTCCCAATTTCCCATAAGTTTCCTGGAAAAAACTGTGTTCCTGATTATAGGAAAAACAGGAATTCCCCTACAAGAGCTGCAGAATTTACAGCAAACCCAAATAAATATCGTAACAAAAAGGCTCACAGTAATGTATTTGTTGTTTATGAAGCTTTCAACCACATCTCGTGGCCTTCCATGTGAAGATACTCAGTTGGTACTAATCTAACGACTTCTAGAGGACATAGTTCTTTCCAAGATGACTTCTTGGGGATCAATAAGAAAGTACAGGCAGAGGCCAGATAAATACACTTCCACACATTCCTAGTAGGTCATTAGGTCATAAGTGATGCTTGAGAGGGATTACTTCTGCACCAATCTATACATTGTTTTTAGGAAAATTCTGCATAGTGTATCTTTAATTAGATTTCAAAGCCACGATTCATCAACTCAGTATGAGTGTCCCTCCCTCTTTAAACTCTCAACATTTACTGACAATGTTTTGTCCTGTCATGCTTCAAATCAACCTGTTATCCTGACGTTAAGACCCAATTGACCTCTAGCTAAGCCCCGCCCCTTTGTGATGGTCCGACAAGCTGTTGGAGTAAGCATGGAGCCCACACTGTAACTAACTGCACTCCCTGAAGAAATATTATCATATTTTTGGAAAAATGAAACAGTGATTGCAGAGAGAAGCAGACAGAGGGGTCTACAGTCTGTGTGTGAAGGATATATCCAGGATGTCAAACTGACTCAGCAGCAACAAAAGGTTAAAAAGACAAAGATAGTTAGAAGCTAAAGCCGAACTATAGGCTACAGATCACAGTGTAAAAGTGAACCACCACATCACTGCTGATCGCCACAGAAGACAATGAATATAAAGGGAAACTTTGCCGATATTGAACCAGCTGTGCGGCATCGCAGTGTGTGCAGATGTCACTTCACTGGTTCCTGTACAGCAGAGTCGGTCTTTGTTTCACTGTTATAATCATTAAAAAGCAAAAGCAGCATGTGTATACATTCAGTAGGCTATATCTTCAGTAGCTAGCTAGCTAACCCTACACTTTTCAGGGTGATTTTGGTTTTGGAACAGGGAAGAAACGTATATCTTTTTCCAACCTCTCCAGGTAACAAGTATCATTAATACACAACGTGCCCCAGACACAACATTTAGCTCCAAATCCACAAAACCAGCCTGAAAATGAAGGAAATCTGAAACGACTGCATTAGAGTCAATGGAGCACAGCTGTGTTGTTGTGGGACCCTGGTCTGAGCCGGCCTGACCTACGTTATGATTGGCCAGTCCGCATCTGGGGGTTGGACTTAGCAAAGGGTCAATTGCAGGTTCAAATCATGCAATTTTTTTTATTTTTTACAAAAACAAACAAAAAAAATCCTCAAATTTGGATTCACTGTATAAAAATGTTTAGTTTGTATTTGCTTTTAATATATGCTACCAAATTAAGTTTGTTCAACTTACCAAGGCCTCTGACTGTTGACTTGTGTTTGTGTCTTGCAGCTCAAATTGCTAGAGAAGAAAAGAAGTAAAGAGTTTTGAGCTGCTGACTGAAGAGAAGATGGATTCGTCTCATGCATGTTGACTGTTTAGTGTCACAAGAGACTCTTCACCTGCATCACAAACTGTGTTTAGCTTACATCATTTTGTGTTTGTGCACCATTTCTTCTTTCAATCATCTTGAATCTCGTCATCCTCACTGTTGTGTTAGCATTGTATGTACCACTGGATTACTGAATCCTACACTCATCTCTAAGAGGAGAGATAAAGGGATAATGGTGTCCAGTAAATATGCATATTAGATAAAGAGAGAAGAAATATTTATGACATTAATTTATGATTTTGTCTTTCATTTATTTCAGCTGATCCAAAAAGAATGGATTAAAGTGTTTGGATTTGTTTGTGTGCTTACAAAGGTCAATATAAATGCTTGGAAAACAGAGTGAGTGATTTCATTTAGTCATATTATCAAGTAGCAGCATTATGTTACAGTGGTGCATAAGTGGAGATCAGTCCCTGAACTTGCCATCGTGATAGCTGTAGCAGCCGTGGTATTCCTAAAATCCAAAGAGCATGCCCCTGATGCCCAGAAGTCCAGAGGAATGGACGAGAGTTGTCGAGGGCTTAGTTTTATTCTAACAAAGCCTCGCTAAAGCCAGAGGTGAGAGGCATGTGCCTAATGTGCATGCCTCAGAGGGATGTGTGTCAAGGGCTGGAATAGCTGGGATGTCCTTTTACCGCCGAGGACATGTGTGAGTGAAGAGGAACACGTGGTGGTGTTCATCAAGCGGGAGCTGCTCTCACGTCACTTGACAGTTGTTCCTTTGATGGCTTCAATGTAAATATTTCCTGTGCCCTCTCAAAGTACAGCTGCAAAAGATCCAGTGAGCCATTGTACATGTCGACAGGTCACTATTAACATACATGACGAACACTTTAGAGTGACTCTACTCTTGCCAGGTGTTTTGACCCAGGGTCTCACCAAAATCTACAAATTACAAGTGAAAACGCTCCATGTGTCAAAGCTGAGCAGGACTTCTCAAATTTCTCAATTACAAGTTAAGTGGGATTTATACTTGTGCGGCAGACCCTACACCATTGTGAGCATCTATACTTGTGCGGTGGTGTGTCTGTGTCACTCTGTAGATACACCTCCAAAACACTAGTTGGCGGCGGGGTTTCTGTGAAGTGCTGTAAAGTTTTGTTGATTCAAAACACACCCAAACACACATTAAACATGGCTTAATAGCGGATTTCAAACACAAGTACACAAATTGGCTTCACTATAAATCGCAGCATTCACAAACACTTGTCTTTATCTGGACCCATTTTCCCGACAAATACAACATGCTAACGTTATTAGCACAAGCCTATGGCATTTTACATTGTATAAATTAGCCTAGTGACCAGCAAACTTTTCCTCTTCCCATATAAAACCAGGAACAACAGCAACATTTAACAAAGGTAACATTACAAAAATCAGCTCCACTGCAGCTCACAAGGATACTAAACAAGTTTTCCAAACAAATACAACATGCTAACGTTATTAGCACAAGCCTATGGCATTTTACATTGTATACATTAGCCTAGCGTCTAGTGGAAATTTCCTCTGCTCGTATGAAGCCAGGATAAATCACACGCAAGACTTAAAATGCTATTTTTGTGTAGGCATTATTGTCTTCACAATTTATTGTTTCTTATTTGTGAAATTAAGGTAAAAAAAAAAAAGCTTTGTTTCCACTGAGGGAAATGGTTTCAACTTACAAAATTAGACAGGAGGTCTGTGTCGCCACGACGTGTAGTTACATATGGGGAGGTGCATGTCAGGCTTCAGCGTAGGGTACAGCGTAGCTACGGCCTCGATTCAAGGCAGAAGTAAATTCCGCTTAAAAGTCATGCAGTCAGAATGTTACTTGGGTGAAAGTATTAGCATCATCATGTACTTTAAGGTCATATGTGTGTAAAATTTAGGGGGATAGGAAGTATAAAATATTCATAACCATCTTTTCATGAGTTTATAATCACCTGGAACTCAGAATCGTGTTTTTGTTACCTTAAAATTACACATTTATATCTACATACTAAGCGGGTCCTCTTCCACGGAGTCTGACATGTTGCTTCTACAGTAGCCCAGAAGGAACAAATCAAACACTGGCTCTAGATAGGGCCATTCACAATTTTGCGTTTGTCACCATAGTTCTTCTACATGCTTGGTACATGGGACAAGTTTCAGTTGGTTGCAATCTGCAACCTCACCACTAGATGCCACTAAATCCTACACACTAGACCATTAACCAAAACTAAGGCCCTGATCTACTGTGGGTCTTAGGCACACAGTACTGCTTCTTTTTCTTTTGACAGCCACTAGTAAAAAAAAAAAATGCTTGCTGTGCCTTTTTATTGTTGCCAGGCAACCACCCCATCACGTCCTTACCCCAACCTTCCTGTGTAATCAATCTACTGTTTATTTATATCACAGTAATCAGTATCTAGTTCCTAAAATGGACAGGCAGAGGGTACTTCCTGTAGCTCTGGCTGAGGGTGAGAGGCTCTCAGTAAATAGTTTGTTGGGCACTTTGTTGTTCTTGTTCAAACCTAGTTCATCACTGTAGTAAACTCTCTTTTGATTGGACAGCTGGCTGAAGACACCTCCAGCAGTGTGATTAAAGAATGACCTATGAGGCCTCCATATAGCCTGTCAGACTGATGCTCAGAGTTCAATGAAGAAATCTGCTGGGAGACAAATGTGTAGGATTTTAGTCAGTATTTTCATTTTAGAGGATCTGACCTTTCTATGACATATTGCAATGAACAGAATTTTTTATATTATCTCCAGTCAGAAATCAATATGTGCAATGATTTAGAAGTGGCAAAGCTGCATTAGAAAGGTGATATGACAAGTTTCAAACAAGGTAACAAGTACAGTAATGTCAGGCATATGATAAATTTTTTGATACGGACAATGATCGCTGCAGTGTTTTAATTTTAACACAAAGGTAAATAAAAGTAGTTGTGATCTTCCAATTTTATTCATTCACAATTTATAGAATTATTTTTCTACTTGAACAGAATAAAACAACTTGGGGAGATCTCACATGAAAAACTACAAACACAATTTTAATTTGAACTGAAATTAAAGTGAGATTCTTTTTATAATCTGTATTATTCTGCAAGTTTGAATCTATAAAAGATAAAACAAACAAAAAAAAAAAATTCATAGTTTATAGTTTGGTTAAAAAAAAATAAATCACAGTATACAGTACATAGATTCCTCCCACAATTTGCACTTATCTAAAATGATGATGTACAACCACATGTTGACATAAAGCTAAGAATGCAAACAAAAAGAAAAACAGACGAAAAACAGACTTTTCTTTTACAAAGCACTGCTGGTAGCCACTACAGTCGAGGAGGTAGCTTCCTTAGTTAGCATCCCATTCTTGATTACTTGTTTTCTTGTCAAATAATTTACATACAAATACAAAAAAAAAAAAAAACCTACTAAAAGATTTGTACATTTTCACCAGATGGGACAAACAATCATCGGACATTTTGGATGGTGCAAAAATTTACACACCCGGTCGAGACAAATGCCTATATGGAAATTAAAAAAAAAAAAAAAAAAAAAAATTAAAAAGATTAAAATTAAATGGTGCACTATAAGGACACAAGAATGTCTTGCTGGTGGGAGAAAACGTTTCCCTACATTGCCTAAATTCCTGAGCACTCACATGACGCGCACTTGTGGATACACGCTCTGAGGGTGTATCCACCTTAATGTGTACAGTCATGCTCCAGCACACCAAACATCAGTCAGTCCCTCATCACACACAGTCTCACTCAGGTCAGCTCTCAGGGTGAAAAGACATCTGCGTTACAATATGATAATGCTCTTCTGATGACACATACAATGAAACAGGCTGAAATGAACAAACAGTGAGTGTGTATAAATTGCAAAGACACCAGAGGCAGTGAATTAGCTTCAAGATAACTCCTCTTATTTTCAACATGGACCTTATTTTCATACTTTCATACCATCATGCATTTCACTGCAGAGCTGTATAGTACCTTGACACCCAAAAGATCCACACTGCAGATACTTGTCTTTAAATATCTGTGGTTTCAACAATAATCAGCCCACGTTTCAATTATAATAGTCCAGCTCACATTCGCTTTGGCACCGCTTTGCTTTTGCTTTGTTGTTGACTCAGCTGGCTGCCAGTCTTGTGCTGCGTTCACATCATGTTGGAAGAAGTGGAAGAGTGGGATTACATTCACGCATTTAACTTGGACGGTATTCGTGTGTTTAACTTGTCGCTCACAGGCCAAATTATATTTAATGATATGTTTGAAATCAACCAGAAACGCACAGCAGCTATCACTCTGCTCGTCAATTCGACTTATGTGAATACAGTTGATTTAGATTTTGGGGATTTCCTGTTTGTAGCTTGTTGGTCGACCAACTTTTACAATTTGTGATTAAAATAAAACCAGCGTTAACTGTATTTTTTTAAAGTGACATTTTGGGAAATATTTTTGTTCATGCTAAGAGTTACATGAGAAATGTGACGCCACTCTCTGACCTGCATGCTAAATATGGAGCTAGGGCCATTAGCCAGTTAGCTTAGCTCAGCTTAGATTATTTTAGATTACTGGAAACAGGGGGAAACAGCTAGCCTTACTCCGACTGAAGGTAACATAATCTGCCCTCCAGCACATCTAACGCTCACTTATGAATATGTTGTGTCTAATTTGTTTAATCCTTCAGTTTTTGAACAGATTAAACAGGCTAGCTGTTTCCCTCTGCATTCAGTCTCCATGCTAATACGCTAACCAGCTGCTAGCTGTAGCTTCAAAGCTGCGTTCAGGTACATGATGAGGGGTATTGATCTTCTCATCTTACTGTTGGCAAGACTGTTTCTTTTGATCGCAGTTGGAAACACTTCACATTAATTAAACACACTGTATTTAACAGAGCAATGAGTCAACAATTGTACCGTCGACCCAAAATAATTTGAAGTGCTGATAAAAGCAGTTCTTATTTAATTATTCAAATGCTGCTGTACTGAAAAGGAAATGTTTGTAGGGTTTGATGTGTTACTTGGCCCGACCATAAGTAGAACATGCAGCTCTGCAATTAAGAAAAAAAGACCCAAATCAAACAGCATGATGGCACAAACTCAGAAAATAAGGCCCACATTTAAAAATAACTGGATTTATCCTTCAGACTAATAACAAGAACAACCTGTGCACTTTTCTGTGAAGACTTAAACAAAGAGAAGTGCTGTTGTTTTGGTGAAAGCTTGGGTTACATTGTATTTTCATCATTCAAAGGCCACCTGAAAATTGTCTCCATCCTCACCCTGCTGCTCAAACAATAAATAACATCTCTCACCACCACCAAGAACAGCTGTTGCTATAACAGTGATATCTGCTACTTTTATCACATTCGTAGTCTTAGTAACTTAAAGCAAAGACGTGTTTATTATAGACTGGCATTTACTTTATACCACTCTCACGCTGGTTACGATCACAGGCAGGCAGGGCAGAAGTTATTGCTGACGTTACATTATCCCCCTCTGGTTAGGTGAAGACCACCTGAAAGTTACATTCACATAGAAAAGTCTAGCATGATTATTACATTTGCTACATTTATGTAAAAAAAAAAATCAAAGTATAAAATCAACAGTTGCTGTGGAGAAGCTTTAAAAATTGACAAAGATGTGTAACAATTAAAATCGGAAAAAAAGCTTATAAGTTCAGGTAAAACAGAGAAATCTCAAAATCTTTGACACATACAATGAGGCTCGCAACATCGTGAGATCCAACCAAAAGCGAGAGGCAGGCACTGGTGGCAAGATTTTTCCTTTGCGAGATCCTGTATTGACCAGCTTGTAACGTGATGTGACGTGCTCAGTTCAGCTCACTTGGAAATGGTCTCCAAGTTCAAAAAGCATACCAAGTTCCCTTTAAATGATTGGTTGCATCTCTGTTTACACAGTAATTTTAAGTGCTTGCTGAATGGTCTGTTAGCAGGGTAGTTGGCACATTTTGTTGTTTGATATAAAAATGTTTATATACTCTTGTAGCATCTAAATTCACATGACAGAGAAATCTGTGCACACAGACGTACTGGAGCTCTGAAGCATCCTTAGTCCTTGACTCGAGGTATGTTGTATGAGTAGTGTACCAGAGGAAGGCCTCTGCTCTGACAGAAGCAGGCTCTGCCGCAGGCCTGAACCTGGTCTGAACTGTCCGACACAAACGAGTCCCCCTCGTCTGCGTACTCAGACTGAGCAGAGGGTGTGCCGCTGTCTGCCCAAAACCCCTCGGCGCGCTGGCACACTGCAGCTCCCGCCAGGAGGGTGGGACAGCTGTGTGACTTCACCAAGTGTCTACAGACTGTGGAGGACGTGGGAGAGGAGCAGGTCCTGGCATGCAGCGCAGCTTCGCACTGCTCGCATACAACTGTCTCTCCACAGAGCTGTGAGTACACCCCACAGTCAAAGCCCAGGTGGGTGGAGGAGCCACTGTCCGTGAGCTCTGACCCACCGCCACCATCATCTCCGTGACTTTCAGCACCAGCCTTCACCTCCCTGGTCAGTCCTCCACGGCCGCGTAGTCTCAGCCAGTCCTCCCTGAAGGCCGGGCTGAAGAACACGTACAGCACTGGGTTCAGGCACGCAGGCAGGGGGAAGAAAATGAGGGTGATAGACTTGGCGATCTCTGGGCCGCCGGCTGTAGAGCCAGTTAAGAGAGGGGCAAAGGAGAACGCTGCCACGGGGCAGAAGAAGATGCAGTTGGTGAAGATGAGCCAGGCTACGTGTCGCAGGGCACCTGTCTGCTCCGGATCAGCCAGCTCCACCCTGCCCAGGTGGCAGTACAGCTGGGTGTACACGGCTGCAGTGAACAGGTAAGCCAGCGCGTTGAGCAGCACCAGAATGACTGTAACACTCAGAGCGGGACTCTCTCCGCCAGCGAAGGGCAGGCAGAGAGGAGACGCAGACTGGTCACTGGAGGTCAGCAGAGGCAGGCAGGCTCCTGCAGCAGCCAGCAGCCCCAGCAGTCCGGCAGCGATGCTGAAGCGTCGATCTCCTCTCCAGCATCCACGGTGGCTGCCGCCGTTCCTCCTGGGTGACATCATCACCTTCCCGAGAATCGTCCGCACGGCCACGCTGCGCTCCACGGCTGCCAGCGAGAGTAACAAGACCGCCCACTCTGACGAGAAGACGGCCAGAGCTCCTGTGACCTGACAGCCAGGTCCCATCTCCCACCACACTCCGAACTCAGCGAACGAGCCCCAGGTGGCCACGTCCAGCACGGTCAGCACGCCGACATACAGGCCTGTGAGCAGGTTGGCCAGGGCCAGAAGCCCCATCAGTAGCCGGGCTGGGGACAGAGACGGAGTGAGGGAGTGGGAATGTCCTGCGGCTCGTTGTGTTGGGGAGAAGGTGGCCACCAGCACCAGGCTGTTAAAAACCAGCGACACCAGGCAGATGAACCAGACCGTCAGACGGATCATCCAATTACCCAGCAGGTGCTCACAAGGCTTGAATGCTCCTGAGGACAGAAACAATGCGGTTGCTCAAAAGTTTTTTAATTTTTTTATTATTTCAACACTTGTAAACATTTGTACACACGCACAACGAAAGATATAAAAAGTTTAATGCTTACCTGGTGAAGGTGAGCAATGCATAATCATTGAGATTCTTTCCACATCCTCCCCACCTAGGAAAAAATATTTAGCGTTAGAAATGCAGCAGGAAGCAGCAGGAAGAATGCCGACAAGGGCTTTTGTTTGACTTTCCAAATTCTTGTTTTAGCTATATATCAATCATCAGCAGTTTAAGGTAATTATTTAAGACTTAACTGTCCAAGAAAATTAGCGTAACATCTTCCAGAACCTGAAATTCATGTTCTGTTACTGTACACAAACATATGGTAAAGACAAATAAAAGGATGGTAAGTATCTTTGTTTTTTTTATTTTACAAACTGAAGACCTCCATCTGAAGCAAACACCTGTTTCAGAAAACTGAAGTGAATGTTGGACATGATGGTCCTGGATTTTGATAGTGGGTCATGGTCCGATAGTGGGTCGCAGGTCTATTCTGAATCGACCGCAAGTGTGTCAAGCTGCAAAAAACACACCTAATTTTGAAGTACAGTGGATTTCCGCCTCAGAGCTTTTATTTTGAAGTGCCGTTTCCTGCTGTAGAGTGAGTGACTAACAGACAGCTACTTAACAGACACAGCAAGCTAGCTCGACCACACGACCAAACGCAGGTATGGCGCCAAATGTAATCAGCTGCGTGGACCCTGAACTGATGACTGAGGAGAAATCTGGAGCCCATGGCTGGACCAGTTGGGAACCACTAGTCTATAGATCACATTAATCAGCCCATGTGCACAAATCTCTTCTAAATTTTAATCAAGTTTCATTTAAATTTATATTTTTCATGAGGAAAAAAAAAAATAGTATGTAAAATGTTGAGTTTAAGCTATTTAATGCAGTAAAACACACTGTAATTGTTCCCTGTACATCTGCACTACACAATCTGAGTATTTAGAGCAAGCATGCAAGCTACAGGCAGAGTGGATGAAAAACTCGTTCCATGTCTCACATCTACATCTGATATCTGGTGGTCTGGCAGTAAAGAATGCTGTTAGCATGCTCATGTAACCCGAGGCTGATGTAAAACACTCTGACGGTAATTTTAGTTGCTTTTATGTAAATAAAATAAAACAAGTTTAGCTAACATGTCAACAAGGCTCTGACGGCAGCATTCCCACCTGTAGATTTCTTTACGTCATTTTCCTCAGAAGAACTCATTGAGTCACATCCGACGAATGCACAGCACTGGTAGGCGTACGGGACAGAGATGGACCTGCGGACAAACAATCATTTAGAGAGGCTGTGAGCGTCCTGCTCCAGTGTTGGTCCAGTGTTGATAATACAGATGGTCCCGGATCTTAATACCTCAGTGGGGAAAGCATAAATAACGTGTTTGTCTGCAAATATTTGGCCCTTTTGATTTTTTTCAATAATATTTGGATGTTTGCAACAGTGGAGAAAACAGACTCAGCTGGCTTTCTCATTAAATGTAAGAGAAGAGGAGGAGTTTGTTTCTGTCGGTCTGTCACATACATATAATCACAACAGCTGGAGAAACACAGGAAGAGAGATATATTATCTGTAGTGTAGATCCTGTAATGGACGTTTTTGTTCACTACAGGATCAGTCCAATTTGTTTTGTTTACAAAGTTAGTGAGGGTTTCCAGTTCAGCTGCTCTTCTGATTAACAACTCAGCTGCTGGGTCTGAGACTGTGCAGCGCAGTGTGTACGTCATGTTTTCTACATCAGTATGTAGTATACCACAGGGGCTTTTTCACATGATGGAGGCAGACGTGATAAATATTTTTAAATAAATATTTTTATTTTAATATAGCTTGATTTTTCTTTTATAGTACCTTTTGACAAATCACAATAATTACGGGTAAAATGTTTTAAAATATTTATTTTGGGTAGGGCTGCCAAAATACTGCGTTAATTTTGATTATTTAATCACAGAGAAAATAATGCAATTAAAAAAAAAGTGTACTGTGGTGCCCTTTGCCCCAGAGCGTCACTGAAGGCCACAGTGGCTTTGTCACATGATGGAGGCAGACAAGACGACGCTGCTTGGACCCGTGAATGGAACATTTATATTTAATAAAAAGGCCCAGATGGAACTGTTGATAGGAGCATCGTTCTCTGAAATTTCTGCTGTAAGGAATTTTTGTACCATCAGAGTACTTCAAGCCTGAAATATCACCTCAACACAAAGCATTTGGCAGCGAACCCAGAGGTCCAAGCTAGCACAGCCTCTGACTCTAAGTATTACAGTACTTAAATACTGGGGATATTTTGTGCCTGTATTAGAGACAGACGACCAAAATATGGGAGAGATACGGTCTCGACATGGCACGTCTGCCGCAGCATGCCTGCAGCAGAGCGTGTCCGTTATAATAAACTAAAGCTGCTACACTGACTTTTACGAAACTGGTCTATTCTCTTCTTCTCTGCACGCTGCTCTGTGGTCCTCCAACAGATAAAACTATAAAGCGCTGTGTAAAAAATGAGAACAATCTGTTTAAAAATGGTTCAAATGAGAGGCAATGTGAATCAACAGCGCAACCTTGTGTGTGTTTGTACATTTCACATTAAAGTAAATCAATCAAATCAATGCATGCTGTCTTTAAACGATCCTGTTGATTAATTCAGTGCCAGTTAATAAAGCTCACACCTCCAAACCCTGCATAGACAACTGGCGAAACTCAATATGCACAAAGTGACACTGGCAGCGACCACACACCACAGAGATGGAGTCTGTATAGCAGGTAAGACAGCCCGCTCCACCCTGCCTACATGAGGCCTTGTGTCCGTGCCCTATGTATTTCGGCCGTGACAGTAGATAACTGACAGAGGTGAAGCATCACATGAATCAAAGGTCCCCAGAAATCGAAGTCGGGAAGTTGCACTTACACAAAACACGTCAGATAACAAACCCTGACAGCAGACGACACACAGAAGTTCTTCCTCACCTGAGTTTGGGCAGGTTTTTCGCAGTCAGCACATTTTTCATCTGCGGGTTCCCCGAGAGTTTCAACTGACTGAGTGAGCTCAGTCCAGCTGTCGGAATCACAGTCAGAGAGTTCATGCTCAGATCCCTGCAAAAGAAATGCACAATTAATTTGATTCTGTACAACACAGTCAGTCAAACCAAACGATGACATGTGGCTAAGATGATAAGAGGTGGTGGAATAATACCACAGGTCACACTCACAGATTGTTGAGAGCAGTGAGGGTGAGGAACGCATCTCTATGGATAACTCGGATTTCGTTTCTGCTCAGGTCTCTGTGTAAAATCACAACGCACACAATCAAGCCATACAACATTTGCTTTTACAGCATCCTGTGTGTGTGTGTGTGTGTGTGACTGAGTGGACTTACAGTAAACGGAGAGCAGACAGACTTTGGAAAGTGTCCCTATCAATTTGTTGAATATGGTTGTGCTGGAAGCTTCTGTAGAGGGAAAACAGGAATTTAACAGATTATAAACAAGCAAAAAAAACACCTTTATTACCATAACTGTTCATTGTTACAGTATTTTTTTAATTTTACAACACAATCTGTCTTTAAGATTTCCAATCTATGTCTGAAATGATTTGTGAACTGACTTCTACATGTCCAACACTCACATCTCCTGCAGCCAGACGCAGCCCTGGAGAGATGGTAGCTCCTTGATCTCGTTGTAGGACAGGTCTCTGATGGAGGAGAACAAACAGTTTTAACAATTTGACAACTGGAGCTTTTTAAAATGATGAATAAAGACAAAAGTTGGGTCGTTAATCATGCTCCACTCTGTAAGATATAATTAGTCTACAAAGAATTTCTCTATACCTCTGCCACATTTTTGAACGGGAATCCAAATACAGTTTTAAAACCATAGTAAGTATAAATATTAGTAGAAGATGTATATTTTAAGCACTACTGCAGGTGTCAGGAAAGGGAAAATCCCTTACAGCGTCCGAAGCAACTTGAGATCCTCGCACAGATCAGCGGGGATGGACGATATCTTGGTTCCCGACAGTGTCCTGGAAATGAAAAAACCTCAACAGTCACTCCTGAGATGCACAAAAGCACAAGCAGGAACAGATGCTACATTCAAGTTCACTCACAGACTCTCAAGGTTATTAGTCGACGTAAGGATGGGGAAGTCCTGCATCATGCTGGCCCCACGCAGCATCCTGAAACACACACGGTGACGAATAGTAAAATCACAAAGTCACGAAACAGCAAAGCACCAATCGTAGTGGATGAAACAAGACACAGGGTTCTTTTTAAACACACATCAATGGTACATTTTAAGTGTTTGAGTCACAAAAGTTGTTAACACTGCTGAGTCAGGAGTCGTGCCTGACAGCGGGACTTACAGGGAGTGCAGGTCAGACAGATTCTGGAAAGCTGTAGCGCCCACGAAGGACAGAGGGTTGTCATAAAGATGTCTGGCAGGGCAGCAGGAGCAGAGGGGGAGAGATCAAACCAAAATCATTTACTATGCGAGAATGGCACCATCTTCTGGACATTCATTTACTGAGGCCTCACTGTCAGCTGATACTGTATGCTTGCGCAACAGAAAGCACACTGTGTACTGTGCACGGCAGCATTTGTACAAATGTGACTTATTAGTGTGCTGTGTCTGTTTCTAAGCAGTGTCAATGAGTTTGACCTTACATGGTTCGCAGCAGGGGGTTGTTATGGAAGGCCCCTTCAGGTATGGAGGCAATATCGTTGCTGTGGAACCCGCTGCAGGGGGAATATCAAGGAAACAGTGTGAGGACAATTTGCTTAAAATGACACCTCAAATAAGTCAATTAAGTAATGTATGCAAATCTAAGAATAGAAATAACAATGCAAAAGGCAAACAACAGAGAGACAGTTCAACCAGGTGTCAACTACAGGTGTCTGCTACAGAACCTTAGACCCTAAACCTTATTTAATGCTTCCTAAGACCTTTTCAAGATCATTTTACACCAAATTTTTACAACTGATTTGTGAGCATGTCATGTTTTTCTTCTTTAAGCACTGCAGGAAACATAAAGGTAAGTAGTATGTATATATGGTTCGGCGCAGATATAGGTTTTTATGTAGGAATATGGTTATTAGAGTGAGTTACATGACATTTTTCCAACACATAAGTGCAAACATAAGTAAAAAGACAGTGTTAGAGTCAGAGGTAGGTTTAAAGATTTGTAACATCAGACGTGGACTTTCAGAAAAGAGAGCCTGACTCATTTTGACAAAAAGAAATCAAAAGATGGATGAAATTAGATAAAATGTTTGTAGTGATTAAGGTCTCAAAGTCATTAAATAGTCTTTCATTTGAATTAGTGAGGTCTTACGTTTCTAAAACTGAATTTAAGACATTTGATGACTTTATAAGGACCTGCAGACAGCCTGTGTAACACAACAGACACTTTAATATCTCACACATTTCTGACTACAACAATTTACTACTCTGCATGTGCGCTCTAGTTTCCTCTGACGTACTTCAGAGCTAATTTGTCAGATATTTGTCTTTTTTAAATGACACACACACACACACAAAAAAAAGTACGACAGATACTCACAGTTCCTTGAGTTTGGGCAGGGCCTCTATTGCTTTGGGAAAAACCATCAGGTTGTTGAAGTTAAGATCTCTGGGATGAGACGGAGAGGGACACAGGAAGTCAGCGCTATTTGCTTTAATTTGATGTAACAAATCCATCCGTTTGCAGCCAACTCATTAATGGTGCATTCAGACAAGAATGTCTTCAATTAAGTATAATTATCTGGTCCTCTCTTTTACTGTCAGCACCAAGTCACGCACTAATTACCATTAACCAGGATAACTAGCATCGTTAAAGTCCTAATAATACAACAGCTAGCAGCGCTGGCTGGATATGTTGCATCCGCTCTTAATGGGTTACGGGATACTACGCAGGAATCGCTACTGTTTGTAAACAGTATCGTCAGGGAAAGTGAAAGCTGCTTGCTATAGCCCCGCTATATTTGCATTTTTTTTCAGCACTGTGTCAGCCATTTTTGTAGCTTTCTCTTAGGTGCGTGCTGCTAACAGTTGGCACCAGGTCGCTACCTCTTTACAAAGTCCCGACCTCACCTGTGCGCTGTGCCCTGGAACGTCACAACCACAGCAAAATGAGATGAAAATATAGACAGAGGGTGGAGCTTCTGCAGATAAACACACCACCATACATTTCTAGTGGGTCACACAGTCAGTGATGATTAAGAGGAATGACTTTCATATGAATCTGTACATTGTTTTTGGGGAAAATCCCACAGTGTTCCTTTAAGCTACAATAACTAATGAACAACTGACTCTTTGGTCCATTGTTAAACAGGAATCAGAGCCCACTGTAAAAATTAAAAAAAAAAAAACATCCCAATGGTCTGTAAAAGCTGTAAAGGTCTGTGTGTTGTACAGTAACTGGTTGCCATTAGGTCAGGCTGTCACTAAAAGATTTTTCATGACTGTGGCAGGAGGAAGTGAGCAGTGGGAGGGCAGATTTGATAAGCATCATGTACTTTGCTCTATTTATCCTAGAGCAATTAAAGGAGGAAGTGGACACAATGATGTCTGGAGAACCAGGGCAGAGGTGGGTGGGGGAGCTGTTAGCACACACAAACACCAGCACAAACACACTCAGACCGACACACATACACACACACGTTAACTACTGTATGACTGTGCACTTACAGCGTCTCCAGATTCACGAGTCCAGCGAAACAGTTGTCTCCTATCTCTTTAATTCTGTTGTTGTGAAGATGTCTGGAGAAGCAAAAGCAGTTTTACACACATTTGTGAGTTTTTCATACCTTGACAGATTCAAAATGGTCCTCCACACTCATCATGGGTTTTATTCCAGTCTGGTTTTGCAGCTTTTGTAAGATGTTCCACAAATAATCTCCAAGCGGCAGGCTGTGATTTGTGAATCAGGTGTCTGTGCTTTATGTGTGTGTGCAGAAGGCTTTCCTTGCCTAATAGATTCAAGGTCTTTTCTTCCTGTTTATGCTGACGTGTTTATACTAACCCTGCAGCAATACCACCCAATGTGTGTGTGTCAGCGTGTGTTTGCGTGAATATATAACAATTTGGATCAATCCCTCGGATTCCTAATGCACCACATGTTTGCACGAGTTCCTCTCATGGAAGGTTTTAGCGTTTCCCTCCCATGCATAATAGAACAAGATAATCTAGATTTTACATTAACGCTCAGAGTTGAGAAACTTTTTCAAAGTGTCGTTAACATTCAAATTCAAACCCCAGTGGCACATTTCACTGCAAAAGTGCGTGTATGCAAAAACGCAGCAGGGCATGAGCAGCATCCCGTTTTGTTGACTTATTAACTGTAAGCTGTGGAAATAAATACTACAGCATGTTTGTGTTTGGAATCTGATTTGCAGTCGCACAGAGGAGACATTCAGAGCCAGAGCAGGAAACAAGGAGAGGTACTTTGCATTGATTTGTGGTGACAGAATAATGCATATGATGCATGAGAAGCTAAAAAGGAATCACAGCTTCTTTTATTCAGAGCAGAGCACGAGCAGTGTGTTCATATTTTACTAACTAGATGGTAACCTTCAGTCAGACAGGGAGGCCATTTTCAAGTTATACAAAAAAAAAGTCCCTCCACTCATTACACACCACGAAACATCTGACTATTACTGTCTGCTCACGCTGCAGAGAATTTGCATGTGTTGGCTCTGAACTTGAGAAATATCCTGATTCTACTTTACACCCAGTGACTTTCACTTCTTCAGTTACTCCCTCGGGTCATTTTAGTCAACACGAGAATGTTCTCAGTCAGTGCGCCTGGTTAATTAAGGTTTTAAAAAAGTACACCAGCAGGTTGTTCCTGCTGAGTTATTTAGCGTATAGGTCTAATAAGACTGCATGCAAAGTTCTCCTGGCTGTCTGGGAAAGGTCGCTTTAATGACTCTAAAACTGTTTATCACTCAGTACTGTAGCTTTTAAATGACAGCTCACTAAAAACCCTGATTAATTAAATGCCACAGTATGTAGAAGACTGAAGGGATTAATGATGGCTTCACGACTAGAAAATCAAACACACTGCACTAGATGCTTTGGTGCCTATGGTCTCTTTTATCCACCCTGCACACTGTGGCAAAGGCCATCTGGCCAAAAACATTAGGTAAACAGCGAATATTTGTACTTTAACACTGCAGATTTTTATTACAAACCCCAATTAAAACAGTAGCTCGATATTACTTACAGCACGACTAGACTGGTGAGGTTGGCAAAGGCGTTGTCTGGTATGTGCAGGATCCGGTTGAGCGCTAACGTTAGAGCCTGAAGATTCGCCTGGTGTCTCAGAGAACCGACAGGGACCTCAGTCAGGTTGTTATCATCCAGCCAGAGGTGGCGCAGCTGCTGAAGGCCTTCGAAACTGTCGTCTGGGACCGCGGTGATGTGGTTCGCATCAAGGCGACTGCAAAACAGTGGAACAAGGACAAAGCATGGGCTCATTAAATTAATGATATTGAAATTGGCTCAGGCATATGACACTGCTGTGAATGTCTTACAAACAGCAAAGAAAAGAACAAAGAAAAATTTATAATAATCATATAAGTGTTAACCATATTTTTTTTTAACCCAATCCTTCTTTTCATTTATTGTCACCTTGCCAGTCATGATTATGGTGAGCAAAGCAGCAAATAGCTTGTACCAGAGAGCTCACCTTACAGCTCCAAATCATCTGGGAGATGAAGTGTACATAGTTTCAAAAAGCAGATAACTGCACACTACGGTTCAACTATTTTATTTCATTCACATTTTAACCACACTTGGATTTCATTAAGGCTTTGAAAGGTCTCGGATGTCTGTTAATGCAACAACCAGAATCTAATTCTGATGTGCATTCATTGAACATACACTAACTCTGCCCAATTAGCCACAACTTGTGTATCACCAAAAACAGGCAGCTAAGTTTAGTTTAGTTTATTTGATTTATAAGAAAACAGTGTGCAATGATATTATTAATTTACAAGAAATGAAAACATGGTTGCACCAGATTTAGCAAAACACTTTTTTCCATCTGTAGTCCTACACATATAAACTAGATGCAATAAATAAAAATAAAATTCAAGGTGCAATGCGGACTACAGTAGTGTAGTAGTGTAAAAGCAGTGGTGTTTGCACCAGTTCCTCTCAATGCAGAGGATATAAAAGATGATGTGAAAATACAGGGAATCTGATGTTTGACTGACTACAGAGCAGTGACCCTGCAAACATATTAATTTTTTATCAGGAGCGAGCCAAAATCTTGGTGGTAAAAAAGGAAATATTTTTAATTTAAGCAGTATTATGAATGCACAAGTGCTCCTTTCACCATCACCACCCTGTTTTCTCCTGCTATCCTCCCTCACCGAGTGTCTCGCCCTCCCTCAAAATTCCTCAAGTGTCTGGGCTGGAAGAAAAACAGTCTTGATTGACATTTAGCTCTCTAAGGCTTTATACAAACCAAGTCCTGGCTCTGTCAAAGCATATTACTTCAGCTACAGACCTTAAAACCCTCGCAGAGAAAAGACATCTGTTAAAAAGAAAGAAGAGCGGCAGGAAAAAAGACGAGAGGGGAAGCAAGGGACAAGGGGAGGGTTATAGAGGGGTGATAATAGCTGAAAGCTGGACTTTCAGCACGTTTCTCCAGCTGGATCCATTCCCTCATTAGTCCCTGGAGGTGGCAAAAAATAGAGCCATATACGCATCACAGTCTCAGTGAAACTGACGTTTGGTAGTCTCAGAAAAACAATGCTGAAGACCAAGGGCGAGTGGAGCAGGAAATCGTGAGAGGGCTGACAGTTACGAGTAAACACGGGGAAACAAACAAGCTCCTGGAAAACTCAACAACCCAACATAGGAAGAGAGGAGTTAGCCACAGATCTGCTGAATAAGACTGACCTACATTTGCACAGGGCTTAGTGCACAAAAAACACTGCAGCAGTTAAGTAAGTGATATCAGTGGAACCGCCCCGAGAGACATCAACGATGTCTTGAGTAAATAATTGAGATTTATGCATTTATTCTTGACTTGAAGGAGGAGTACAGTATTAACTCTGATCATATTGCAATCTTACAGTAGTGGAGGATTTTAAATAATGTAGATGACGGCTGCAGAGACGTATAACAAAGGTAATTCTCTGTATGGATGCTAAAGTTTGACAAACTGTAAGTGTAACACAATGCATTTGGGGTTTCTATTTTTTGTTTAATTAACATCCATCAAAAATGTATATCATCCATGTTTTTGGAGCAAAAACAATATCCGATTTTAAAGTGAAATTTAAAGTGTAACAAGACTAAAAGTCTGCAGCCATGCTAGCAGCTCTGTTGTCGGTTGTACTTAAAGCTAAATGCTAATGCTAGCATTGCAACATGCTCACACTGACAATGCTGAAGTTCAAGAGGTATAATTTTCACTGTCTTAGTTTAGCATGTTAGCATGCTAACATTGACTAATTAGCACTGGGCACAAGACACAGTTTAAGTAATGAACAAATGAAATAGCAATTCATCTTAAGGTTGTTGAGACATTTCACATAAAACAACATATGTGACCCTAAGTCGTTGGGATTCAGCCTCTGGGCACAATAAATGTCTGCGTGACATCTAATGGCAATCCATCCTGTGGTGCTGTAGATCTTTTAGTCTGGGAAAAAAAAATGGACAAACCGACCAACAGCACACGTACAACGCTCTCATCCTGGACACGTTTAGTTTAGTGCATCTTGTCTGTCATTCACACTGAGAAATCAGTATTCAGTGACCCTAAATTGACCCCCGTTGTTGCCTATAAACCCATTTTTGCATAAATTTGTTAAGCAAATTCCCAGCACCAAACGTTACGATCTTTACATACATTAGCAGATAAACGGTTCTGCAGTGCTCTCGCTCCTGCTGCTGCTTTTTATATTATCTTTGTGAGTAACTGTCTAGAATGTGGTTGTTACTTTGGCACAAACACTATGAATTCCACTTTGGACAGTAGGCTGTGTAAATACACTGCAGTGCTTTCTCTGACAACAGCACTGGTGGCTGCGGCGGATCTTCTCGTCCAGGAATTCAGGACAAAGTAGCTTTCTTATTAACTTCTAAAGAAAACACAGGCTTTTCATAAAACTCACAAACAGAGCTGAGTGATTTTGTTTTACATATTAACATGAATAACTGCTTTTGCAGCAGCAGCAGCTTTTGATCACCTTCATGTTCCTTCAGCAGTTTAAAAAAGTTTTTGATAGTTTAAAAATCTTAATCGTAGTTCCTCTCCCCTGTTAGGTCATGTTTGACAGTTCACAAGAAATTGAAACTACATTAACCCAACAAAACAGATGACCAGTATGATGACACCGACAAATAATTATTACAACCTGCAGCAGCGGCAGTGAGTGTTTCCTTAATACTATAAATGCAGGACAGAGAGGTCCACTTGAAACTCAGGTTCTTTAAGCAAACAATACCCAACACATGCGTACAGTATGCATGCATGTGAGAGGGTGTCTGTAAGTCCGTGTGTGTGTGTGTGTGTGTGTGTGTGTGGCAGATGACTTACAGAGACTGGAGGGAGTGAAGGTTCTTCAGGGCTGCACTGGGCACAGTCTTCAGCTGATTATTCTGCAGCATCCTGAAGATAAAATGGCAGAAATGATGATTTTAACTCAACTTGCAACACATTTTTATCATGAATTTAAAACAATGGCTGCGCTAGAATAGTCTTTATTGCTGAGGAGGGTTCCTAACTGAGTGAAATAACCCAGACATATCTTAATGGCAGTCGTGATAAGAGCTGGTCAAATTCTCTGTAAGCTAGGTAAAAGGTGCTTCTATGCTTCCTCTCTTATATTCTTTAAAATAGGGTACACTGGACCCTCCTTTACAAAAGTAAAAGAAATAATGCCGTCCCACTATCTCTTGAGACAGCAACATTTAAAGTGACCCATGTCAAAAACATCCACCGTAGCCTAGTGTAAGCACAGTCAGATTTTCTTAAGTAAAGACAGCCGCAGTGCTAAGTCCTTATGAATTTTCCTTCACATCTTTCCTTGACCTCGTGACATTTTCCATTAAGACCAAGTAAAAGTGTTTAGAAAAGGACAAAGGACATGTTCTACTATTCGACCGCAGCCAGTGTGTGTCCACAGATTCATTTGATGCTAAAGGCACTGGCAAACTTTTTAAATCCTCCTCTGTGTGTTGTTGTTTTTTATGTGGCTCCTTGCTGGAGACAGTAGCTCCATATATTTCTCTTGATCCTGATTCCTGTTGCCAAACTGATGAAGAAACTTTAAACACTAATCAAGTTATGAAACAATCCATATTCATCTTCACTCTAAAGAGCATTTACACTTGCTTATAGAGGTACTCTATTTGTAAAAACGGACCCAAACCTGATGTGATTAGGGTTTGTTTGAGCTGCATGTAGTCAAAATACTCCAGTTTGTTTTCACTTGTGTGGTTACAAGTCACAATGTGAATAATTCACTCAATATGATAAGTATATACAATACCGCCATGCGATTGTGTTTTCAGTCGTGTAACCAAGACCTCACCTGTAGATCAACAGGACTTTGAACTTTTGGCCCGTCGCAGAATCAACAGGGCAGTGCTTTGTGCAATGTGTTCGAGTCTGTGCAGGCACACTAGGGTGTGCTGCCCGATGTAAATTACGCAGAACTAATTTTTACACAGGGCTTGTGTGCAATGCTGTGTTAGGTGTTTTCACAGGCACAGATACTGTGAGGGCAGGGATGGAAAAAGGCATTTGGTCTATTCCGAGTAGATGTAAATTGCATGACTATGTTTAGGGTGGCAATAACTGACAGCACCACAATGTTACCGCAAACTGCAATATTTACTCTCTTCCCCAGTGTGTGGAAAACTTCACACCATTGCAGCCATAAGTGTGTGTGCTTGTGTGTGTTGACGGCGGTGGTGGTGACAGGGAGGGTGCATGCTTACAGGACTTTGAGCTGATGCAGTCCAGACAGGGCTTCAGGGTGGATGAATGACAGGTCATTCCCCGCAAGTCGTCTGTGGGGACAGAAAGAGTCACACTTAGATTTCTGGACATTTCTTTAATGTTTTAAAGCTACAGGAGACATTTCTGCACAAAAGAAACACAGCAACAAACACAAAGAGTATAATTCATCTCTGAGTAAAGCAGCACATAGTGTGTGAGATCTTCTCTACATCTAGCGCCTCAGTAGATTAGTTTCCAGCTCTGAAGTTGAACATGGGGCCTGGGGTGTCAAAGACATGTGTCTGTGCCATGGCCTGTTGTCACTTCATCCGTCACCCTCAAGAGATTAGAGCAGTTCCTGGATATCACCTCTTAGATCCCTCTCCGAGCCTCCTAACCATTACTATTCAGCTCCCCATAGAGGGTGAAAAACTGATTCACCCCTCTGAGGCTGATGCAAGCAGTGTCTTCTTGTAACAGTCTTTGCCTTGTAACATTTATCACTGGGCAGCTTCTTCAGTCCCTGCATGAATTACTTGAGGCCGATGGGGGACACCTCTCTTTCCTGTTGGGAACAGGAAGTGTATAGGAAATAAGGGTGTAAATAAGCATGGGACAGGCTGATTGGGAGACGCAGCCCAAATGTACTATCTGGCATGAGAGATTAGCAACAGATTTATCACTCTGCAACGTGAGTCAGACCAGGCTGAATTCCCTGCAACAAGAGCTGCTGGGTGTGAGCCTGAGAATCAAGTCTGACTCTGTTAGATGACCACATACCCTTCATGTACAGTCAGAACTGGCCTTTTGTTTGCCATCAATTTCAGTGAATTGGAGAGCTAATCCACTGTAAAGCATTTCTGTCGTAAAACTATGAGTTGACCAGTGTGAGCAGCTGATTCCCTGATGAGACTGACAAAGCTAAAATACCTGTTCTATGAGTACACTGTATGCCAACAGTAGGCAAACACGTCAATAACATTTTCAACTCAAGTAAATTTGTATATAGCCAAACATTTAAAATCACTTTGAAGAACAAGATAGTAGTGTGCTCAAGGACCATCTTTATCATGATACTCAACAAAAAATGCAGGTGCTCTTGAAGAAAAGGGGCCGGCACATGGGAAGAAATAAATTAACTTCAGGCACTCATGCGTGGATGCATTTGTTTTTTTAAACACTTGTAGAGGTGCTTCACTTTCAAAATGGCTTCTCATTGCAATCCATTTCTGTCACCCACCTGGGCTCACTTGTTAATCAAGATAAGGTGACACCCCCTACCAAGCTTATAAAATGTGAAATTTGACTCACGTCCACCCTTTTGTACCCTGACAAAGACCTTTGGGTTGAAACCGGTTGGTGTTTTAATTTAAGCAGCCATGTTTTGAAATCAAGGCTTTTTAACTTAATTCAAATTTAAAATGACTTGTTTGCCTCAAGAAGCATTTTAAGTCTCATAGTGCGACACAAAGCATACATTTGTAATGGTATTTTTTCATCAAATAAGTTTTACAACATTTCTGTTACCCCCACAAGACAATCGTAAATGCTATACGTCCCTCATGTTTTCTAAATTTTCACCAATTTTCACCATTTGAGGTTTGACTGGTTCCCTTTTAATTACGTCATTTTCTTGCACCCTGTTCTCCTGCGATGATTTAAAGGTAGGGTCTGGTGGATTTTCCAGTTGCTGTTTGTAAACACACATTCAAATTTGGCCCCTCCTATCAGGCTCAACTCTCCCGGGTGTACGGAGCCCGGAGGTACGGAAGAAGGCTTCACAGAAGAGGTTCAGACAAGGCTCGCGCTGGTGCCAGGCGGACACACTCGGACACGCTTGGGCACGGCACCTGCGCTCTCTCATTGGCTGGGGAAATCTCCACCCAGAAGAGGTCAAAGCTCACAAAAACATCAAAATACAGTTAAAGGGCAGGAGCTCTGCAAACAGAGTCACCACCACACAAGTAGAAGCCCATAGGTGATGATTAAGCAGGATTTCATTTGTATATGTCTGTATTTTGTTTTGTTTGAAAATCCTCCAGATCCTACCTTTAATGGCACTTAACTAGAGAATCAGCGCCACCAGCTGTGTGGTTCAATTAAACCAGCTCCTAAAATTCACATAACAGTAGTGGACGCTGATTCGGAGGAAATTTGGTCAAAATTTGCCCTACACATGGACGGAAACTTGGCTACAGAGGCAACAAATTTCTAATAAATTCTCCATCTGCCACAAAAATGGAAGAGAGATAGCCGGCTGTCAAGCAGCCAAGAAACACGGTGTCACCGAGGATGGCAAACCAAAGAAAAAAAAACAAGTTGAATAAAATTGTAATGTGCTTGTAAATTCAAAGCTTGCGTGAGCTTGGCAGGAAAGCATGTGAGTAAGCATAACTGGTTATTTTGCTTTTACTGCATTTTATTCAAATTTGAACATTAACTTAAGAGTGTGCTGAATGTGAAAAACATTAAGTCTTTTAAGAGAGCCTCCACCAGCAGCAGACCGACTGCTCTAAACCCACATTAAATGAATTCGGGGCCATTCACAGACCTTATTTACTGCTTGACTTGAAGTGGTTGACCAAAGCTGTCATATTAGGATGTGAATGCTCACTAGCTTTACAAAGAAGTTCAATGAATAAATTCCACAGCTGAATTCCACAATTCAGAATACTATTAAATCAACCAATCAATGTGTCTCTACTGAGCCACAATTTGTCAAGAGATGTCTTGTGACAGCTTAAATAAGAAATAAGATTTTAATTCCCAGACCATAATCTGCAGTCATGACTACAGTGCAAGTTGTCACACACAGATGGCCGCCTACAAATTCAAAATGACATGAATCTTGTCTGAGTCACTCTTGTTGATTTCCAACATACAGTGACCAATGTGGCTCATGTCAATACGACTTGATTCCATGAGAGCTCACACAGCCCAGAACCTTCAATCGCTGTCACGAGCCGCTAACCACCACATGCAAACATGGTTTGACAAATCATTCAGACATCCTTCAGGTTTCACAACATAAAAAGCTTCTCCTCCTCTTGCATCTTTCAGCAAATTCAGTACATGTCCCCCCAGGCTCCGACGAGGGAAGAAGAATGTGCTAAATCTCGTTGAGGAAAGGCTAAATCCTCTCCTTGTGCAACACCACTCCCACAGGTCTACCTTTGTCAATAGCAAATTCACAAAGAGCCCTAGCAGTGCACTCTGACAGCTGAGGGCTACAAACATGATTTACCATCAAGGGAAAAAAAGCATTTGGGCTTTAAATTTTGCTGAAACAGTACAATTTAACTTTCTATTTAGGTAACTTCTGTGGCAAAACCCAAACAAGCACCCCTCCCCCAGGACATGCTCCCACATGTACAGTACACACCTTTTTTCTGTACCATTGTTGGTAGGTATCTGTGATACTAAGCGTGTGACCTAATTTCCTGTGTTCATATTGGCAATGAAGATGATCATATTGCCATTTCCAAGAATCATTTAATTATAAAAGAGTTGTGAAGTGACAGGAGCTATTTCAGGCGCCTCTGGTTCTGGAAGTACAAGTCACATTCATTTTCCCACCGACAACGTGACTCACAGTTGGATCGCCATGACACTTTCCTGGTTGAATCATCAGTACAAAAAATTAACAACTGTGTTACTTATTAAAGTATCTGGTTCTTTGATTTAAAAAAGAAAAAGGTTACAGAAAGGTACAAGTCTGTGTACCTAAAAACTTCAGGATAGAAGTTAACTAAGACTCCCGAGGTACATTTCAGCAGGAAACATCCAGTCACCAAGGTAACGCTCTTCAAGCTGATCACAAAGCTACAAATTATGCTGCTAAGACAAATCATTTTACATCTGCAGTTTAAATAAATTTCTTTTTAGTACCAACAATCTGCAACAGCAAACTGTTACAAATTTGGAAGACAACGTTCCTCAGTTTCTGTCCTGAGCAGACAGGAGGTCTGGTGCAGCTTTGACTGTCACTAGAAGCACTTTTAGGGTCCTTGAAGGGAGTTACTGAGAGGCAGGGGTGTTGCATTATAGCAGTACTGATGATAAGGCACAGTGATGCAGTGGTTAGTATTGTCGCCTCAAAGCAAGAGGGTTTCTGGTTCGAACCCTGAGTGGGGGAGCCCCTCTGTGCGGAGTTTGCATGTTCTCCCCGTGTCAGTGAGGGTTTTCTCAGGGTACTCTGGCTTCCTCCCACAGTCCAAAGACATGCAGATTAATTGGTGACTCTAAATTGTCTGTAGGTGTGAATGTGAGTGTGAATGGTTATCTGTCTCTATGTGTCAGGCCTGTGATAGTCTGGTGACCTGTCCAGGGTGTACCCCAACTCTCACCCAATGACAGCAAGGACAGGCTCCAGCCCCCCTGCGACAACTAACAGGATGACCGGTTATGGAAAATTAATTCATAAAAATAATAATAATAATAATAATAATGTGTAAATAATCCAGCATCACTTAATAATTTCCATTTCTTGTCTCCCTCTCCACTGCACTCCTACACTCGTATTTTGTGTAATTAATTTACCAAAAGAGAGATAAAACACACAATTGACAAAGTTTAAGATGAGTTGGACTGATAGCATTATTATTATCATTCATTTTGTGTAGATATAAAAATAATTTCATTAGTGTGAATTCTTTTGGCCATGATAATCATGCAGCTAAAATCTGCCACTTCAGGGGAATAAAATCTCTGATGTGTACGACGTCATCTCTCCACAGTAAGGAAACAATGCTCATATTGTGTATTGTTTCCAGCAATACAAAATATGTGTCTCACTGGAAACACTAGAGTTCCCCTTCAACTGACTGTAGTATAATTAATCAGGACAAACAATTCCAATGTGAGCCATCACTCAAAAAGATCTCATTCCATGCTATATTTGAATATAGTTATTGTTACCATATTCAGGGTTCCCACACACTTTTATCAAAGAATTTTCAAAAGTTTTCTGTAACTTTTCTATAATATTTCACCCCATTTCCATGACTTTATTCAAGTAGTTAAAACAAAGTAGGCAGATCATCGGATGCAGCAATGGACTGGATCAATGGATCAACTGATGCTTGACATGCTGGTAGAAACATTGACTTCATCTGGCCTGGCTACAGTAGGTGTGAAATATGTGCAGATGATGAGCAACCTTCTGATTGTCTTGATGCTTTGGTGTTGGTGCAGAGTCGACGCAGGTAAGGTCTACCTCTCCATTGAAATCACGTAGGAACAGGCAAGCACTCTCAAAATAAATACACTCGTGAGGTGCATGGCCAAAAACAGTGAAAAAGGGAAAAACGCCAGCACTCTCAAATGTCCTTTTAGGAAGTTTAATCAACCAGCTTGGATGGCAGTACCAGTACACAACAGACGTTTCAACCGAAAGTCTTCTTCAGTGTGTCACTTTTTGGTCCCTTTTTCCTACCTCTCTATTGAGCCATGTCTTTTATTTGTGGTTCAGAAGCCGTGCATTATTAAACACTCACCTCCCAAGCATTTGCAGATAAGCAAACTGCTAGCGCTTTCCAACTTTACTCCCTCATTACACATTCCCGCCACAAACTAGCTGCGTACGCCAATGTGCATCATGTGATACTGGTGACATTTCAACAGTCATGCTGCCCAGCACTAGATTTTAAATTAATACTACAAGCCTATCACAGCCTAATGTCAGCTGGGACAGGCTCCAGCCCTTCTGCGACGCCTAACAGGATAAGCGGTTATGAAAAATGAATGAACTACAAGTATTTTGCGTAATGTTGGACATGTTTTGAGATTTTTATGAACACATTTTAAAATATAGCCAAAACAACATATATTCAAAACCTTTCTGAAACATTTCCAAACCATTTCTAAACCTGGAAAACAGTTTTTCTAGTCTCATAACTTTTCCAGGAACTGCATGACCATGGCAACCCTCAATGTTGTTATCAAAAGGTAAAAGATAAATTACACTGGTACAGACTTTATCTCATTTCATTTGGCCAGACAGATTAAAAATAGCACGAAAGAAAAACAAGCTTTATTTTTAGCAGACATTTCATACAAATGGATGCAATACCATGTGCTTCACAAAACATGAAAAACAGAGAGGAAAACACACACTTACAATACACAAACAAAAAGACGATAAAAAATAAAATGTTAAAATAACTTCATATTATTTTGTCGACAAACTGCAACCTATCAATAACAGGCTGAACCAGATGTCAGTGCTACAATTCACTTAAGACATATAGAGAGCCTATCGGTAACAGGATATTCCAAGACTATAAACAAACTGCAAAGGAGACAGAGAATACCTGTCATCACGTCTGCTGAGCTTTGTGGTGCCTTTGGCAAGAAAGAGGGAGAGCAGAGGAGATTGCGTGACTACGAAGGAGGGAATATTCCTCCCTCGTCTCCGCTCCTGTCCTGTAGGAGGATGTCCCACTCTCTTTTCTCTCCCTGATCTCTTTCTCTGTCAATTCTTTCTCCCCCTGTCTTTGCCCTCAGGGCCCATGCTTTGGTTCACTGACACTGCTGCAGCCCCGGAGCGAAGAAGTCATCCACCAAAGTTCACTGAGACAAGCCTGCAGATTTGTTCCCAGAAAGAAGGTTAAACAAACACACATTATGAACTAAGGGTATATGTCAATCAATGACACCCCGACGACAGTCCATCCATTATGATGACCTCAGATGAGAAGAAGTAGCGGCAAAGACCGGGTGGGTTATTTTTTTTCGGTCTTGTTGCCATGGAAACCATTGTTTTGCCCTCTTCCTTCCTGCCTTGCATTCCTCCGCACAATGCGATGAAAAGTAAATTGCCTTTCGACAAAGCAGATTGGAGTGGCGTATGGAAAAGAAGAGGGTGAAGACTTGGCCGGCTGAAAGATGCACGAGAGCTGAAAGAAAAAAAAAAAAAAAACACGACCGCAAAAGGCCAAGTGGAGCTGGAACCGCTGGAGTGTGTTCACTCACTGGTCATTTTGCTTTCTCAGGGCTGCATGTTACCTGATATCAGGTAGACAGATTTTATCTCTGACTCCCAGCAGCAGCGAGCCAGACAGCGGAGTGTTTAAAGAGTAAAGAAATAACAAACACCCACTAAGATTAGATGTACACCACTCAACAAAGCCCCAGAGCGCAGATGTGCTGTTGCCACCCTGATAATCCCTTAAAAGCAAAAATCCACACAGGATGTCACATGATCATAGCTTCAATACATGTTGTCTCACCTCACCTTTTTTAATTGAGCTTCACTGCGCCTTCTATAACCGCCCTTGTTCAACTCGTGAATGGCTGAGTGATTCGTAACCTCATGTAATGCTGCGCTTATCTTCTTCAGCTGAGAAGGAGGGCATGTTGTGCACCTATACTGTGTGTTTTGCAGCACAAACTCAAATATCCAGGTGCATGTCATAAGCCCTCATGTCAACATTGTACAGAGTAAATACATCATTAGCGAGAGAAAAAAAGGGGGCATGTACTCACAGTTCCTCCAGATAGGGGAAGTTCTTGAATACAAACGCTGGAAGCTCAGTGATGTTGTTCATGCTCAGGTCACTGTGGAAACAAAAAATCAGTTAGAAAGCACAGTAAAATCTCAGAGTTCATGGATACCTTTAAATTGCAGGTTTTATATATTGAAAGCAGAAAACAATAAAGTTGTATAGTAACATCTTGTGTGGATTTTAAGCTGTTTCCAACTACGAATCAATTGGTACAATTTCAATTTGTTCTTGCCCCGATTTTGTCTCTAAATCTTAAATCATTTTGGCATTTTAATTATTTTCACTGCCTTACCTTTTGTAGCTGTGAAGCCCTTCTTAACCCTGGTTTTGAAAAATGTTTAATTAATTAGGTTTAACGTATTTACATAAGATTTTCTCAGATTTTGTTAACACACTTGGTTCTCAAAATGAAATCATCTGTGCATGAGCCCTCATTTTATCAGCTAATTTATACATGCAGTTTTAAAGCTCAACAATAAGGATTTCCCTGGGCAAGTAAAATGCCACATTACGATGTTGGAAGAAGCTAAGGAGTGAGCCAACCCACTTCCTTCTGCCAAGAGTTGCAAATGCACAGTACTGATCGGGCACTCCAAGAAAATGGCCAAGGATAAAGACAAAGTTCATGTGCCGAAGCACAAGCAAGCATCTAAATTATCCAGTAACCAGGAGTTTAGTTGGGTGGCTTTAGGAGTTGTGAGTGAAACTCCAACTATGTGTTGCACAGTTTGCCAGTAGTTTGAGAGCAAGGCAGATAAAATAAAATAAAAATTAAACATGACAATTAACTTTAGTCTCTGTTGTTCTTTTATAACCACTAATGCATAAAACAGTGTGTATAAGAGCACGTACAAATTGACTTTGGGTAAGGAGATTTCTGAGCCCCTTTCCCCGACCAGGCAAGTGAATAGAAGCATTAACAGTGAACCCTGAGTTAAGATCTAAACATGATGTTTTTGACTGTACATGTAAACTATGCAAACAAACAATAGGCTAGTTGTGTCACCCATCCCTTATGGCAATTTAAGTCTATTGAGTGTGCCTGCATGAGTATAACCTCAACCAAAAAAAGGCTTGAAGAAGCCCTTCTCTTTAGCCCCGGGGATCTTCATTTTTCAGACTAACTTCAAGTAAAGATAGGCATGTAGCAGCATGAAAGATATGCACACAGGACTTGATTTGCTTCCCCACCAAAACTAATATAAGTATATGTGTTTACATCTTCATAATGATCATTTAAAAAACACACACATATGTGCTACTGAAAGCTAAGAAAAATTGAGCAGTGTTTTCAACAGGCTCTGCAACATAAGGGCCTGTCACAATGAGAAGGAGGACAAAAGACTGCTTTGGCTCTACAGAGGAGACCTACAGTGAGATCAAGCTCCGCTCAGGATCCCTAATCTTGATTAGGAATCCACTAACCCGCTTCAAAGAAAAACCACCCCCCTCGACGACAAATGTAAAGAAATGGTGCTTATCAAGACTGAAAAAACATCCGGGATTCACAAATGAAGCGCCCCCCTGCGCCCCTCTCCCTCCCTTTTCACTCTCCGACTGGCCATCTTATATTTCACTGCCAGATCTCTCTAGGACCTTGTGTGTGGGCCCCTGAATCCTACAAGGATCATATTGCCCTTCCTCTGCAGTCCCAACTACACACACGCAAACACACAGGCACATGCACGGAGGCCTTAAAAGGCGGGCCCTGACAGAACCCTCATCATCCCTGCGACCTGTGTCCCATCTCCACTTACCTGGTTATCCAATTACCATACAGACTGTGCAGCTACGACAACACTTCCATCAACATCCACCCACTGCTTATCGTTCTTTCCTACCCAGACAACATCTCTGGTGGTGTTCTGCAACCACTGCTGCAGATCTGCCACCACTGGCGGTCAGATGGATACATCCCTAACCACATTTTAAACCGTTTGACTAAATCTTCTGCAGACTGTTGACTGGTCTGAACCACATGCAGGGCTGGGGAGTACGGGAGGCCTGCATGACTCTATCACACTTCCTCCCTCCCTCTGTGTCTGGCTGCTTTACTCATCAAGGTCCTGGCCTGTCCCTGCTAAGATAGATTGAAGGGGACACTAAAAATGCAGCTGTGATAAATGGTGACAAGACTAAACGCTTCTACAAACAGGTATCAGTAAATTTATATCCCATGTGCAATTTGGCTTCATTTTAGCAGAGAGGAAGCAGAGAATCTGAGGAAGGTAGCAGAAATGCTTCGAGAAAAGGAAATGGCTGCTGAGGCGAAGCATGAACATAGTCTAAAGTCTCATAGTTAAAATACAATTACTTCAAAAATACAATCCTTATATCGGGCCACATCCACACCAATACGATTTCATTTTAAAACAGGTTTTTTTCCTTACAAGGGTGCCGGTGTAGACAGGAAGTAGACTGTCTACAACACAAATACCGAAGAGTAAGACCAGAGATTTCTTTGCTTGTACTAACAACGAGGTGGAACTCTTTCTAAAAGTAACATGAGTATGTATGTCAGTCAAGATGGCGAAAAACTAATTAGGAGTCGTTGCAAATACGTCGACATATCAGAGCAGTACCGCGAGCATTACCCATCACCACAGGAAGCCATGGCAATGGGAAAGGAGTAAGGTTACCCACACAAGAAGGATGAAATCACAAAAGACATATAGACCTAGCTATAATGTTTGGGGTCGACACATTGAGGGTGAAAGGAACCACTTGGGAAGCGAACATGGGTGTGTCATCTTTTCCACAAGTCTTCATTTCTGACCGTCAAGGCTTGAACGCAACCCTGGGCTTTATTAAAGTAGAGTGGGGTTAGCAGCATCTTCAAATGTCTCCGTTTTAGGGGGTCCATAACTCCACAGTCGTGTGGAGGCAAGGGATAAACACAGCAATTGTTATGTGCAGGTGTAACACAGAAACACTACACATCAAACTTTTTAAAGCACAGACACAAGCATTAAAACACAGTTTATAGTGTGATAAACTGAAATGTTGCTTTTGAATGCACAATAAAAAAGCTGGAGACAAATGTTGGGGAGCAGTGTATCAATCATGTAGCCTGGGGCCAATGACAGTTAATGATTTTTTAACAGTGTGTAGTGATCATATACTGAAATCATGCATTTTAAGTAGACTATCAATTCATAGTAGAGGGGCTCAGAATGATTGAGACGAACACTGCGTACACTACAACCAAATGCGTACAGAGGTTTCAGTTGCGACTGAACACTTGTGCTGCCTCTGATTAACAGACAACAAACAAATTCTTCCTGAAGCATTTTTAAGATGCATGAAAAACTGGATGAATTAGATGAAATTTTACTATAAAACATTACCATTAACCAAAGAGGGTGCATATAGCAACTGTCTACAGCACTTAAACACAGAAATGAAGCACAGATCTGCAGCCAGTTGCACCTGCTGTTTCTAAGTTCTGACCTGGCTACAGTGTGTTTACCAAGTACAGAATACGAGTTACTAAATAACCACAGGAGCCTAGTTTTTACTGATTTACACCTAATAACTACTGAGTGTAACTGCTGTGCTGCTTTCACTATCTCGCTTTAACAAGTGCTTGTTGGGAAACTTTCTAAAGAGCACAATAGGCTTTATAAGTTTCCCACAATCTTACTAGAGCTAGTCACCTGACTAAACCAAAAAACTAGGAGAGGACTTAAACTGAGGTCGTAGCCAAGATGCCAGAAATGACAGGGACATAACTACAGAAAGTTCATTGGCTCAAATCAGTGCAGCACTTCACAAATCCAGCCTGTGTGGCAGAGTGGACAATACAAGCGCACCCATAGATAAAAGCACATGCTTTGAAAAAAGATCCCATGGTCTGATAAAACCAAACATTTCAGCCACAATGCAAGGTATAATGTGGAGTGGAAACCTGGCATCATCTGTAGTGATCCAACTAACACTCTCATACACCATATTGTAAAAATGTTCAAGAAAACTTGAACAGTCAATCATTTTTCATTTTAGATTTGAGCTTAATTTAGATCAACTGGTAGAGATTTGTTGTTACTGATATTAAAAGATTATTTTCTAACGACCTGATTGAAAAAAGTCTACCACATCCATTATTATGTGACTCACTGCTGTGATGGTACTGAGAAAAAGACAACCGCTACTGAGGGCACCTGTATTACCTTACTAATTTGAAAATGATTTCCCAAAACCCAAAAGCCTTAAGCAAATGCATTTTGTTTAATTTTAATTTCGGAATATTCTCTTGAGTTAGAAAATCTCTTGAAAGTGAAACATACAGTGCATGCCTTTTCTCACAGGAAGTGGCCGACCTGCATCTCCTTATATTGTTCAAATGTTTACAGGTGCGTAAAATTTTCCAATACTTAGCAGCAACAAGATACTAGAAAACAACTTCAATTTACATGAAGAAGACAATGCTGTAGAGCTGTTATAAAGACAGACAGTAACCGCACGTCTGGCTAGATCCATTCTCCAACAGTTAACTTGTAATGTAGCGTAGCACAAAGCAGGAGACTCGTTGCTTTGGTCATGGTTTGATGGACCTTGCACACTGTCGGTGGTTAAACTGTTGACCAGAACAATGTTTTACGTGACCTGTTATATGATGTTAACAGACCCCTCGCAAAATGCACCAGGGTCCATCCTCTCATAGAGACATCCGATGGCACTCGTAGGGATAATCTGCCATATGTTCTCATTCAGGTTTCTGTCACAGTTTGTTAGTAATGGATATCAGGACAATAAGGACAGTCTGTTGATGGCTCAGTCAGATGGTTCAAGTGTTTTCATCTGGTCAGATTGGAGGAGCAGCACAAGAGTCTGCAAAGTTCAGCCTATCACGATGCTGTTAAGGCCAAATTTATGATTTAGAGCTACAACAATTAGACGATTAATTGTTTAGTCAACTGCCAGAAAATTAATCCAGCACTATTTTGATACTCTGAGAATTAGCTGCCCTTCTCTGTTTTATACCATTGTAAACTTTATCTGACAAAACCTTTAAAGACAGTTCACACTCCAGGGAACTGGGATGGATGTTTT